AGCTTAGTTTGAAAATGCTTCTTTTTCTGCTTTATTTTCTGGTACTTTTATTTTTAGGTAATCATGAACATAGAAAAGCACTTTATTATCCAATTTAGAACTTAACAACAGAGATGAGGAAGCTATGATTCAAGTGTAGACTCAATCTAAGAATGTGACTTGGACTTGGAAAGACAATGTCTTAGAATTGGAGTATCTGTTGACAATGGTGAGAGCTATGTTAATGTTTTTTTCTTTGCCCTTCAGAACAAGAGGTTGATGGATGACTATGGGACATCCAGGCTGCTGTTATGTGACCTCTAATGGTTACTTCCCATAGTCTGGATTAAGGGATGGCAGAGAAAGGTTATGTGACATTGAGCTTCCCAAATGTCCCAAGACTTACGAATTTGGTTTCTACAGGACATCAAGGCACTATTTAACAAGCTCATGCACTGCTAGGCACTAGTTTAGTCACTTGACCATGGAAGAGTGGCAAGATCTGTATATTGTACAAAGTTTGATATGAAATGCTGTGACCTAACTGTCCAAACATCTAATGTCTTGCTGTGATCCAACAATTCTTAGAGTCAGTCACATTGACAATACCCTGAAACCACATACAGCTGTTGAAGTTGAAGTATAATTAGGTGTGTTAAGTTATTCTGCTTTAAGCTTCACCTAAGGATGCAGTTTTCTTCAGGATGTGCACTTTGCTGAACCCATAAGAAAAGGATCTTTCAAAAATTGTGTATCATCATACTGTCATGATGTGTTGAGATACCTGGTGTTATCACATTTAATGTCAACCTCAACCACAAATTTTGTATTTCCTTGTTCCATGGTATGATAAACTGTTGGAGATAGATTAATATTATAGAGTCTTGAATTTCTGTTATGCTTCTGAATTTTAAATTTTGTTGGTCTTTTTTATTTCTCCATTGTATTGGAGTACACATTCTCGTGGGATATTATAAATTTAATTTCCGTTCTCTTTTGGATCTTTAAGTGTTTAGTGTATACTAACTGCAATCATATTGTTTATAGGTTCTGAATAATGTTCTGTATGCTTTGAAGAGATTTTTGGAGAAACTAAAAGTCCAACAAAAGCTAGAATTGTGGATAATAATAGACATGCAAAACTATAATATCAATAGCCTATTATGTCAGAGAAGAGGACTGTACAATAAATTGGAATAATACTCAAATAATGAGATATAAATCACATGTGAGAAAAAGAATTATAAAATAAGTTTTCTACCTCCACCTTGATTATAACATATTCCTTGAAACTAACATAGAAGTCAGGCAAACCTTTATATTTCTCTTGAAATCATTCAAATAAGTTAGTCCATTCAAGTCCTAATGTGGGAGACCTTGGATGAATTAATATCACACCAATCTTTCTGGCAAGGAGACCCAGGATCCAATCTGACCTAGCCACTACCACCATAGATTCTTGGGGCTTCTAATGACAACAGCAGGTTAGCAGTCAAACATAGGATATAAACTAGTTAGTAATTATACTACGTGGTCGTATAGGCTACTGACTTGTTCAGTCATCACAATTTTGTCAGGTAAGTACTTGATGTAATCTCAGTTTGACTGAATAGTTAATGGGTGTGAATCTCTACCCTTGTCACATCATACATGTGTTTATAATAAATGTGATATTGTATTTTATCCATAATTTTGAGATGTTTTAAAATTTTTGTCAAAACAAAACTAAAGAACAAAATGATCCATATTGCTTTAACTCTTTTGCAATAGGAGCCCCTTTATATGAATTTCTGCACAAGTCAGTGTGTTACATTCAAAACTTAAGTAAACACCTTTACTATTAGTGTTTGGAAATGAAATTAATATTATAATGTATGTTATGATTTAAAGTTTTATTTTATCCAAGTTTTAAGTCCTTTATTTCAAAATATACCTTTAAAAAACTACTTAAAACTTCATATCTATTGTCATATGACCATGAGCTATGAAAATTCTCTACTTTGGCTCTCTGTATCCTTAATAATACAATGGTAGTTGAGTAGAGGTATGTCTAGACAATAAGATGCTAACATAATATTTCAAAATTCTCTGAATGAATACAATTAAAACAAGTAATATCTTTTTTTCAACCTCTGACAGGTGCCATGCCCACCTCCAACAGATTTGTTTGAACTGTATAGCTTAAATATAGGCATGTAGACGTTACATGCCTATGTATATAATCACTAGAAAGAGTTCATTTTAAATTATTATTTAACAGTGGTTATTTTGAAATTGGTGCCCAGTTGTCATTGAGGAGTACATGGAACTGACTGTAGTATTGTTGGCTGCTTGATCGACTATAGCACTTACAGTTGTTTCTTATCTGAATATGTTATAGTTAGAAA